AAGGTTGGAAACTTAAACTTAGGTAGAAGATCATATTAAGGAAATAATGAAACTAAACACTTCACCTCCTGAAGGAAGTCGGCGACACCCTTCCTTTCAGGACACCTAAATCCACAATCCTCAAAAAATTCCAGAACCTGATTACGTGGACCATGATAAACAATTTTCCCCTCTGCCATTATTATAATGTCATCAAAGAGATCGTAAGTTTCTGGGGCTGGCTGAAGAAGTGAAACCAGTAAAGTAGCATCTGTGATGTGAACTAGCTGCTTAAGAGAAGTAACAATCTGAAATGCAGTGGAACTATCTAAGCCATTTGTTATTTCATCCATGAACAAAGCTTTTGTTGGACCTACAATCATCTCCCCTGCATCATTGAATTCAAATATTGGTTCTTAAGTAACAGAACATATGCAGTTGATGTTTGGAGTTAGTTTTTTGGTCATCCTATCAATGATAACAAAAAGGAGGCCTGCAGCCATCTACCTGTAGTCAACCGCTTTTTCTGACCGCCAGATATACCTCTTCTCATAGCATTCCCAACCAGTGTATCAGCACAGATATCAAGTCCTAGGATCTGGGAAACCACTGAAAACATTATTCTGCGTGCACTAAATCAGAAGATGTGAATACCACTTTGCCAAAAACAATTACTTTCAAGATGTAGTCTGGTTTGGAGGGTTTCTTTGAGTCCCTTGACAGATATTGCCTGTTGATAGTAGCCCATAGCAAACAATTACATCATAAGCAATGGCATAGTGAAAAGGATCTGAACAGATACCACAAATTTTGAGCCATGCCAACCAACTCAGATACAGATGAAACAGAGACCATAGGTTTTTACCTTCATGTAGGTATCTATGTCTGGATCTGGAACTATTCCTTTTTCCTTCTCTCTTCTACTTATCTCCATCATGATGTCTTCACAGACAGGAAAAAAACTTTATTACTTTCCATGAATTGATTAATTGACCACAAGAAATCACCATAAACATTATACTCTATGAAAAACTACCTGTTCGGCTTCCTACCCCCTGACAACGAGCTGAGAAGTCAAGCGTTTCCCTCACAGTCATCTCAGCAATGTGCAGGTCATATTGACTTATATAGGCAGAAGTTTTCTGGGGAACAAACTCCTCTAGCATGCAGCCATTGTAAGAGATTTCACCCGTGAACTGTTTAAGAACATAGATCAAGTTACAATTAGCACCATAAAGGTCACCAGGGGCAACTAACTAAATACCCAAAAACTTTAGAGCTACATAATTTTCCCTTATTAGTAGAATATATGGATAGATATTTATATTGATACCTATTTCAGAACTACAAAACGCAAAAGTTGGAAAATTAGTCCTCATTTAAGATTCCAGTTACATGCAAGATTTAGATGCATAGTCCATAGTCCGACATGAAATGCAGACTAATTGGACATATTCTTTCATTGATAAAAATTGGATAAAGCTTAAAGTTTATATAAAAGACATGAAACACAATTTGATTAGAAAGAAGGTGATATTTTCAGCTAATTCTTCGTTATCCATATGCACGTCAGAATGCATTTGTAGCTTCATACTCATGAATAAAGTCTGAATGTTCTGAACCTTGAGAGACTTGTCTAGATTTCCTGACAGAGACTTTAAAAGAGACGTCTTTCCAGATCCAGGTGGGCCAAGCAATAGAGTCATCCTGCGGTTAAAGTAAGCCTGATTAGCTGTCGTTTTCACATTTCTATCACCAAAAGAGGAAAATGTCAGTGCTTGAGATATCGTCATAGGAAGAATAGGATAAATAATTGCTTTTTTGTTGTTTTCTTTTTAATATAGCCATTAAGAGTATTAGGGATCTAACTGCTATGTACTGGGTAATTGCTAGGATGCCAGTTGTTGGGTACCAAGGAAGATTACTTATTTCCCAATAGTTCTAATAGGCGACATTACTGTAAGGAAGATCATATTGAAGAAGATAAGTTCTCCGAACTCTCCTCTCTACTCTCTTATCCACTTCTACCCTAACCTACTCTTTCTCTCAACCTAACCAAGTTTGGTATCTTGCTCCATCATGAAACTGGAAAAAAGCAAAGGAGAAGCAGCAATAATGGATTTTTGCAGCTCTCAGAGATGGAAGACTCGTTCTGAAACATAGAGTAGCGTCTTTAAGAGTTTATATCTAAGGTTTAAGAAATGATAGACATTAGGCTGGATGCCAAACTCGACAATAAACTAGAAACTAAGCTTGCAGAAAACAACACCCATCTGCAGATAATTTTCACCGAGACAATATGCTTAATGATGGCTGCACAGCATGCGATGCCTAGCCCACCTGTCCGCCTCAAACAAACCTCTAGACCCACTTGGACAAGGAGCATTGTCTCGTGTGCCTTCTCTCACAGGGGAATACTTCCTACTATTGAAACTAAAGGAGAGTAAAATAAGAATAAACTCAGAGGAGAAGAGAAGAAAAATAGATATTGATCTGAATTAGAAATTTTGAATTTTCAGCTAACAAGTCAGCCTTTAAATAAACAATTACAGCAAAAAGATAGTTATGAATTCTTATAGATTAGGTTTGAAACTTATCATCTTCTTAAATTATAGATACAATCGTTATAAATAAAGTTCATCGCTTATCATTTTCCTACATGATAGATAAAATTCTTATAAATGAGATTTATCACTTATCAATATCTTATATAATAGATAATTTAAATTAACTAACAATTTAAAAAAGATAAATATTAAATTTATTTAATATCCACCCCTCCAGTGCGATAGAGACATTCCAATTTTTCAAGGGGTCAACTGAAGATCTTGCATGAGAAGGTGTAACAAATACTTTCAGGTTTGTGGAGTTTCCAACAAACAAAAGGTGGAACTTGCCGCATTTTTCTTGGGAGAAAAGCTCGATTTTTGGTACCAAGAGCGGTAGACACAGAATGGGGCCATGAAGTGGATGATATCTGAGGAGGGACTATGCATATACTTTAGGGACCAGACACTGATGTAGTAGAGTAGTTTAACAAACTCTGACAAGAAGACCCCACCTTAAAGAAGCATATTTCATATCGAACTTCATCAGTGGGCTGAGCGAGGAGCTGTTGCCAATGCTAGAGCTCTAAGGCCGGAAAGGCTCAATATGCTTATGAGCAGGCTCAATTAAGCCACAACATATTGATGCTATGGTAAAGCGCCAAAAACCCAGGAACTTTATGTCAAGTTATGAGTTCCCCTAGCCTTAAAAATCAAAGCTCACACTCAACAACAGTAAGAACCTGGTGCCCTCCCCAAAAACAAGCCACAGAGGAGAACGGAGGCCTTTTAACACTGGTAACAGGTGCGAGATTATTACTTTCCTGGCTACGGTTGCAAGTGGAAGCAACTGATGATGCTGGAGACCGCAGAAGGAGAAAAGGAGCAAATGGAGGATAAAGAGGTGCAGCTGTAAGCAGAAGATGAGGAGAATATATGGGAAATATCATTCTATCCTATTGAAGACTAAGAGAAGAGAAATACAGTTAAGATCTTGGGTATGGTTGGCTCAAAACTTATACTCGCTTTGGTGGACAATTGGAGCATCCACACCTTCATGGAAGCAAATATGGTTAGGTGTTGCAACATATAGTCTTCAGTTCCTCTACCTTGAAGGCTCTCGTGGCTAAGGACCACAAAATAATTAGATGTACAAAATCTATGAGCTGAAATGGAGAATGAACCAGGTATTGCTAAGTTGCTCGTTTCAAGTGCAGGAGTTGGGGCATTATGATATCATCCTCGGAATTGACTGGATGAGAAATCATAATCCCATGACTCTAGACTTTATCAATATGCAACTAACGTTTCTGAAAGATAAGAAAAGAATGCTGGCGCAAGGTAAAGAGCAAGGGTGTTCTCCTACTCTTGTTTGAAAAAAAAACTTAACGGCATCTTAATGAAAGAATAGGAATGAATTGGCCATCTGGTGAGCAACCTGGACTGCTTGAAAGGGAAGGATGAAATGAACAAAGACACATCAGCTCAACATTTGAGCCAGAGGCCAATCGAGCCTTGTTTGAGATGTACCAGCACATATTCGAGGAACCAAGCTCCTTGCCACCCCAAAGGGAACAAAATCATTCTATTCCAATGCTGCCCAAAGCCTCATCAGTAAACATACAGCCCCACAAATATCCCTATTTTCAGAACGTCGAGATCAAGAAACAAACAAGAGAGATGCGTAATAGTTCCCTCATCCAACACAGTCACAGCTCTTTCACCTTCACCAGTGTTATTGGTCAAAAGGATGACTGAAGCTGGAGGTTCTGTGTAGATTACTGACAACTGAACGCAATTACCACCAAAGAGAAGTTCTCTATCCTTTTAGTTGACGGCTTATTACTTGAACTAGAAAAGGCTACAGTCTTTTCTAAGGTGGACTTGGGGAGTAGGATAACATTAAATCTAAGTAAAACCTGAGAACATCCACAAGACTAATTTTGCAACATAACATAACCTTTTCGAATTTAAGGTAATACCTTTTGACCTTACTATTTTCCTTGCCACATTTCAATTACTTATGAAAACTACCTTTAATGCTCATTTAAGAAGATTTGTGTTAGTTTTTTCTTTTTTCTTTCTTTTTCTAATGACATCCTCATATATAGTCATAACAAGGAGGAACATTAAATATATACTGGAGGCTATTTTTGAGATTCTAAGACAACATCAACTCTGTGCAAGAAAAGTCAAGTTTTATTTCCAAAAGAAGCAAGTAGAGTACTCAGGCACCTGATTTCATGGGCAGGAATGCAAACAGATTCGAGCTAGGTAGAGGTAATGGTATCCTGACCAAGACCCACCAACACTACTGCATTGAGAGGGTTTCTAGAACTCACTTGGATATTATTTTAAATTCATGCAAAATTATGAGAGTTCGAATCAATCTCTTACCGAGCTTTTAGGGAAGAATTCCTTCAACTAGAATCTGGAGGCAGAAGTACCACGTTCCATGCTCTCGTCCAGCCGAATTCCTCTCAACCCCTTTTCTGGAGACCAATGTGAGTGGTAAGGGTAATCGGCGCAAGAGAAGTTGGTGGCCTTTTTCAGCAAGGCCTTGAGTATAACACACCAGTTCCTCTCCATATACAAGAAAGAGCTTTTGGTGATTCTTATGGCAGTCATAAAACGGCACCAATATTTAGAAGTTGCCCCTTTACAATAAGAACCGATGAACAGGGCGTCCATCACCTACTGGAGCAAAAGGTCCAAGATCTCATTCAAAAGAAGGGGATTATGAAGTTGATGGGGTGGAATTATGTGATTCAGTACAAAAAGGACGAGATAACTAAGTAGCGGACGCATTGTCAACAGGAAATGAATGAGGAAGCAGAACTAAGCAACATCACTGCCACTATTGTTCCCTTGTGGGTGCAAGAAATCTAGAATTCTTATGAAGAAGATGAAGAAGCAAGTAAGCTCCTCATAAAGCTGGCATTAGACTGGGAGAAAAAGCCACCTCATTCCTATGAGCAGGGCTTGTTAAGGTAGAATGGCAGATTGTATGTAGGAAGAAAAGGAGAGCTAAGAAGGTATTGTTACAAGCTAACCATGAGTCCTTCAGGGGGTCAAATGGCACTTACAACAGACGGAAGAAGGGATTCTTTACAGAAAATGAAGCAACAGGTAAGTGAATGGATAACGATGTGATACCTGCCAGAAATGCAAAAGGGAACAATTGCTTTATCCAGGATCCGTTCAACCTTTGACTCCTCTAAACCAAGCATCAGCACATGTCACAATGGACTTCATTGAACCATTACCAAGTTCAGCAGGCAAGGACACGGTTCTGGTGGTGGTTAATCAGTTCACCAAGTACGGCCATTTCCTAGCCTTATCTCATCCCTTCACAACCTAGAAATTAGCCCAGATTTTTCTTGACAACATATATAAACTACAGGGGATACCTAGATCAATTATCTCAATCTGAGACAAGATGTTCACCAACTTGTTTATGGAGGAACTTACAAGACTCATGGGCATTGAGTTGCACCTGGTGCTGCCTCCGTCCACAATTGGATTAAGCAGACAGAGAAAATCAACCAATACCCACAAAACTACTTGAGGTATGACATCTGGCAAACTACGTCCTTTGCAAAGTGGCTTGGTCAGGTTGAGTGGTGATACAACAATACCTACTACTCCAGCATTCGCATGCTTCTATTTGTAGCATTACACAACTATCTGCCACCTCTGTTAATGGAGCAGAAGGATTCAACAACCTCTGTGGCTAATTTGGAAGCATGGATGAAGGAGAGGCAAGAGATTAATCGGTTATTGAGCGAGCAGATCCTGGTCTCTTAAAGCAAGATGAAGCAGTTTGCTGATGCTAGAAGAATGGAGAGGGAGTTCCAGGAAGGAGACTGGGTCTTGCTGAAATTACAGCTCTATTGCTTCTCCACCTTGGCCTTAGGAAGTGATTGGAAATCGTTTCAAAATTCTATGAACAATTTAAAATAGAGAAGAAAGTTGGAGCCATGCTTACAAGCTAATCCTGCCACCAAAAATGACTATAAACTCTATGTTCCACATGCCATTGTCGAAGAAACATGAAGGGAATTCTTCTCAGCACACTAACACCGTACCTATCACTGATACTCAAGGCCAAATTCTGCTGGAATCCAAAGTTATCCTGCAGAAGAGAACTATTCATCATTGGGGCAAACCAATGGAGCAAATTCTTGTAACCTAGCTGAACATGGGGGCCTACCGAAACAACCTGGGAGGTTTAGCTATTCCTGAAGGGACAGTATCCATAGTTAAACCTTGAGAACAAGGTTCTCTGCAAGAAAGGGAAGATGTTAGTGTTTGAAACATTGTCATAAGAAGAACAGAATAAAGGATTGCTTTTTCTGTTGTTTTCTGTCCATACAGCCGTTAGAATATTAGGGAATGTAGTGGACAATGGCTCGGATGCCAGCCTTTGGTATCAAGGACAGTTAGTTATTTCTGGTAGTACTAATAGGCCTGTAAGGAAGATCATATTGAAGAAGATATTTTCTCCAAACTATTCTCTCTATTCTCTCTGTTTCTTCATTGCTATATTCTCTTATTCTCTTCTAGCTTAACCTACCCTTTTTCTTAACCTAACCAGGCTCGGTATCTTGCTTCATTAATGAATGAGTCAAGCACCTGAGAGCAAAATTCTCCAAAGTGGCAATCTCTTCCCTTGAAACAGGATTAAAAAGAGAAAAAGAAAGTTGTTTGGCATAGATCAACTTGATTCCAAAAATAACACTAATTTAAGAGAGAATTTTCTGTAACAAAAATTTCTTAGTTTAATGGAATAGAAGTATCAACAAGAAGAAAAGAAACATACAAAAAAAATATTGAACCGTATCATCTAAAGAAATATAAGACTTCCAAATCCTACCTTCCTGGCTTTATGATACCACTAACATCATCGAGGATTCTTATCTTGGCTTCCTGCCGCTTAGCACCCAAGAGCTTCAGTAACTCCTGTATAATGTTCAACTAGCTTATAAAGCTTGTGAAATTTTAAAATGTCCAAAGGGTCAATAAAATGGTCAAGTAACTGTTTCCACTCTTATAGAATGAAGAATACTAACAGAAAGAACACGTTTAAGAGAATTCCATAAAGTTGGGAGGGGCTTTCCTTCAACCACTTCACACTCAGCTTCCACAAGTAAATTCTTGTATCTCACCTCTACAGTGGGCAATTCCACACCAACTCTGCAATATCCAGGAAGGATTAAGTCAGTTATAACTTGTGCAAACACGCTTATATATTTATAGATAGAAAGAAAACAAACATGATAAACAGCATCTGCAACTTGTAAACAAGCCATATAAAGGAACATAGTCTTGAAATGACTTGTGCTTTATCATGCATTGTCAACAATTTCCAGCTTCATTTTTTTTCTTATGATATATGATTACTTCCTAGAAAACATTACCCTTTCAGGATTCAAAGACACGTGCATGAATCTTCCATGTCTCTTTTCATGGAAAGGGTCACTGTTACTTTTATGCATGTCTTATTGTCTTTTGACACTCGGTACACCACATAAATGCTTAAATAAGAAAATTATAGAAACAACAGTGAT